GTGCGGGTGACCGACCTCCGGCAGAGAGCACTTTGCTTGGAAAACCCTGGAGGCCTGGGGAGCCAAGTAGGGGGTGGGCCAGGGTAAAGCCATGGTTACCAAGCTTCAGAGAAAGGAACAGCAGGGCCTGGCCCTGCCTGGGGGGCCTGCGTGGTCTCAGGGGACCGCAGTGAGCCGGGTCCCCGAGGCTGGCTTGAGAAGCTCTGCGTTGAGAATCAAGGCCACCACACTTCTGAAAGCGTGATGCCAGCACGAAAGCCCACAGCCTCACCCCACACCCTGGCTGCCTGGGGCGGCCGCACACGAGTTCCAACAACGGTGACGTCGCTCAGAGATTTCCGGAAGGTCTTTTGGCACTTCCTCCAGGACTAGTTTTATTTTGGCTATGTGGCCTGGACGCTATGTCATGGATATAAAATGTCTCTCATTTCATGCCACCCTCCTCCACGGTGTCCTATTTTTAACTCTGAAATTGGATTTTCCTGCTACAAACAGGCAGAAGTTGTTTGGAATTTGAGGGAAGGGGTCAATACAGTGCATGATAATGCTAGGTGGTATAATTTTTTGGTGAAAATCCAGAAGTGAGCCTGGGTTACTCAGGTGGCTGACAAACTGCCCTGAAGACGAGTCCAAAAACCACCTGAAGCTCTGGACACAAGACTGGCTGGCGTGAGTGAGCGAGTGTGTCCCTCGGGGAATGGTTAGCGAGCGAGCCGGCATTTGCTTCGATGGGGACGTTATGGGATGCTGGTTGAAGGGACACAGCTATTGGTTGCTGGAGAGCCACATCCACACGTCAACAACTGAGCAATAACGCTTTTTTCTGAAGCTTTAATAAAGCATAGTAGACAGCAGCCAGCCAGCCAGCCTCCCAGCCCCAGGCACATTTCGAAAAAAGTTAAATAAGTATGTTTCTGTCCCTGGAAGGTTTCCAAGGCAAGACAATGGCTCCTTCACTGAGGTCCTCGAAACTTGGGTAGGATTACTCTCTGCTGACACTGGGAAGGGCACAGTGAGATCAGGAGCGAGTGGGAGGAGGGGAGGGCCGGCGTGATGTCCTGGCCAGTGCTAACAACGGGCTCTGGAAAAGTGCGTGTGCGTGTGTGTGTGTGTGTGTGCGTGTGTGTGTGCGCGCATGTGCGTGTGCATAGGTATGCACATGTGCATACGAGTGTGTGTGCAAAGTGAATCTTTCTGCAAGGAAAGGTGGGAAGCACACAGTTTACAAACACTGACAACACTTTTCATTGTAGAAAACCAATGCTCGCGATGCTTCTGGTGATGTTTGCTGAACTCTTGTGTCTGCAGCGCCTGTGGGTGCAGCTCACCCAGAATGTGACGAGTGGAGCTGCCCCCCAGTCTGCTCACTCTTGTCAGTAAATTGGTCATCCTACAATCTGATATGTGTAAACCGCATTTGCGGTGCTGCCTCATGCAGATTACGTGGGTTAAAATGGCTCCTCTCAGCTTCAGCACTCCTGCTTCGAGAGGGCTGTCATTGCCACCATTTTGCATTGTCACAGGGACTGGAACACTGTTTAATTCACATCAGTTCATAGGGCTGCAATCAGCAACTCGTTTGACAAGTCCCCCCAAAGTCCATGTGAGCTGGTGTGTCCAGGAATGGGGGAGAAGGGGGTGAGGGTGGCCAGGCGGGGGTCAGTAGTGAATTATATAATTCCCTGGTAAATTCAGGGCTGCCTTATGAGAAATAAGTCTCAGGATTTTCTGGACTCACATAAGCGTGCCAACTGTCATACGTATTCAGCTAGTCGGTGCCCCAGTTCAGGGGCACGAGGAGCAAACGTGTGGGTAACGTGCTCCCCACAAGCATCCTGGGACCTGCAAACCGTTGGGATGGATTTGAGACAATCACAAAGAGATGTGCCTGATAGCTGCCTTTCCAGCCTAACTCCTGACAAATAAAAGAAGGGCGTTCTCACGACTTACAGAGAAGGTGGTTCCATCCAGGGCCCCTGGGAACCACGAAGGCTTGTCCCACTCTTAGAATCAACATTCATGTTAGAGCCAACTCCTCTCCTATTGCTTTAATCTTTATGTATTAAAGAAAATTCCATGACACTCAGCCGACAAGAAAGGAATTTAAATATTTCTCTTTCCTCACAACCCACATTCATGTAGGGCAGCCTTAGAATGTGCAGTTCCTCTGTGAACGCCCGTCCTGCTTGTAACTGGGGAGCCTCAGGGGACCACAATTTGCCTCTGACTCTTTTTTTCTGTATTAGTTTTAGGTGTACAAAACAATGCAATAGTTCTACTTCTCACCCCTCACAAAGTGACCACCCCCATCCCCCAATTAGCTGCCCCCTCCCCCGATAGCACACACGTCTAGCCCTGTGCTCCACATCCCGTAACCACATATAAATCAAATCTTAGTTGACATACAAGATTATTCAGCAGCAGCTTCAGATGTGCAGTGCAGTGGTCAAGCCTCTACACCGTCCATGAAGGGGTTTGCCTCTGACTCTTCGTGAGAAGTTTTTTACTCGGTGTTAAAATCTAGGTCCTTTGAAATGCATGGGCATCGCCACCTGGCTTTTTTGCTGAACAGATGAGTAGCGTTCACAGTGAGTGGATGTGAAGAGCAATAAACATACATGCGTGTACACATACAAATATACAAATGTGTGTGTGTGTGTGCTCACGTTCACATATACTCGTATATCTCAGCACCTTTGCCAAGTCGCTCGTCATCCAGGAAACCTCAGCACTTAGGAGAAAGGGGAAACCCCATCTGAGGCCTGGATGCAGCTGTGTTGATGAAAATTAATTGCAGATAACTGAATTATTTAGAGGCACTGTTTTCTCTCTCTATTTCCCCGTTTCCATTTTTCTTTTCCTGTCTCAAAGGCTTCTACTTCCTATGTCTACATCTAATGAACCAAAGTGTGAACTGTATTCAAGAATAATGGTGCATCATATGATATTTTTATGTATTTCATATTTTAAAAGAACCATAAGTAAGATGAAAACCCCACAAGAGAAAGTGTCAGTAATTATTAGAATGGAAAAATTCACATAAAATGAACCGTTTCCCATTGTATGGAATATTTATGATCTACCTTTGTAAGAATCTATTTTTGAATAACCAGAAACAATAGTTTGCAAACATATTGCCAAATGAAGTTAAAACTATCTTAATTAAGGTTAAAATGTAAACACCACTGACCATCATTAGGCCTTGGCAGTCTATTTCCTTACATCTGATCCTGGGATCTCACTCAACTTTAAAAAGGCCGAGGTTTGCAAGTTGTCCTTTGCAGTCTTGAGTAAAAACACCCTTTTAGCTACACATTAGTGGACATGCTGGGTTTTCACATTATCTGTATTAAATAAAGCTACTGCTCTGAGTGCAGAAGATAAAAGTGTCATCAATGGCAGTCCGAATTGAATGGCGTGTTTTGAAGATGGGTGGGTGTTCTGGGAGGAGGGGAACGCGTGATAGGAGCCAGGTGGCGCTTATAGGACAAAGGTGGGCGTGAGGCATGGATGAATGCTTTTATATGGAGTTTGTGGAACAAAGACAGTGTGATACGGCGGCATTTCCTTTAGTGGTTGTGGAGAACGTGGGCTTTGTCTCCAGCCTTTCATTTCACTTGGTGTTACTTAAATAGTAACTTGCAAATACTGCCTCCTTGCCCAGCTTTCTCCTCTAGTTCAGTTGGCGATATCATCTCCATCTAGTATTTTAAGCTGTTCTTGTCTCTGAACTCCGACCTGCAGAGTTCACTGACAATGTATCCCTCCATTCCTTCATCCACCTGTTCTTCTGTCATCCATCCATCCATCCATTCATCCATTTGTTCATCCATCCATCCGTCTGTCCATCCATCCACCTGTCCATCCGTCCGTCATCCATCCATCCATCTATCCATCCATCCATCCATCCATCCATCCATCCATCCATTCACCCATCCATCCGTCCATTCGAGCACCCCACAGGCATTTTTCATCACCTACTATGCGCCACTGTGGTAGGTGCTAGGGGTGCAGTATAAGCAGATGCAGAGAGCCTCAATCACTCACACGGTTTCCTGTCCAGGGCGGGAGGCAGACGATGAAGTAATCACAGTAGGCGGTAGTTCATTATAAACCGTGGGAAGTGTTTGAAGGACAGGACCACAATTCTGTGAAAGCATGTAACAGAAATCTGACTTTGCCCGCCTCCCTGGAGGAAAACTTGAATAAGGTGGGGTTGACGGGTGAGTAGGAGTCAGTTACATAAAAGGCTGCATGAAGGGGGGCATCCCAGACAAGGAATTAAGCATGACACGTGATGGAGAGGGACCTGGGATAAGGTCAGTGTGATTGGTGTCCGTAGAGCCGGGGGCAGAGTGACCTGAGATGTGGCTGGAAAGGCAGGCAGGCCAGCGCCTCGGAGACCCATGAAGGGTTCTGCAGGGTCATCCTAAGAGCAATGATTAAGGGGACGCTATGGACGCATTTTTGCCAAAAGGGCAGTGACACCATCATCTGCAGGTTAACCGCGACAATTAGGATGCTCTTCCTTTGTTTTACAGAAAATACGAATTAAACTGGTTTAGGAGAACAAAGTGGGTGAGATTATTGGTTCACTAACAAAACAACTTTCCAGGGAGGCTTGGTCCAGCTGGGTCATGTCCTTCTAACTCTGGGCTCCGCTTCCTGGGGTCACGTTCGTGACCAGGCAGGCCCTCCCTTCCTGATGGAGGGAGGAAAAGGGGCTGCTTGTTCCCAGGTGGTCGTCTGAGCTGCAAGCTTTGTTTTCTTGGTCAGTGAACAAGAAAAATCTGCTTCCTTGGGAGTTTTTAAAGATTCTCAGAATTTAGTTTGAATCGTTTTGATTGGTGTGTCTTTGCATATCTTTGAATGAATCCCTGCGGGCTACGCCCATTGGCCCATCAGGGCCCCTTTGTGGGTCTGCTTCTCATCAGCCCTGCACAGCCTCCTGGTGGCTGGGAGGGATACAGTGTGAACCACATGCATTTCGCTTCCTTTCTACTTAGGAGTGTTGGTGTTTCCTCTGAGCTCCAGCTGAAGCATGAGGTGTTTCCTGTTTTCCACTCTTCTATAATCTGAAGTCATGGTGAGCATAGGGGGTGTGGGGGGGGGCAGGGGGGAACTTTTGGCCATCATGAGGTCCAGTTTTCCCATTCCAACTCAACTGCCACACTCCTGGTAGAGCAGCGGTTCTCAACCTGTGGGTCACAACCCCTTTGGGGTCGAACGACCCTTTCACAGGGGTCGCCGGGTATTCGTATGTGGGCGTATCTGCATGTGGGCCTGGAGACGGATAGAGGAGCGGTGTCTTGGTTCCTAAGACCATCGAAAATATGTGTTTTCCGATGGTCTTAGGCGACCCCTGTGAAAGGTTGAGAACCCCTGTGCTAGAGAGAAGTGTTGGGCAGCTGTTCTCCCCACTGGCCCTCCACCTGGTGGAAGCCTCTAGTTGTGTGATCACCTGTGGATATGTGAATAGCTACAATTGTACTGGATAGCACGCATCTGTGGGAATGTACATACCTTTTCATGTGTGCGTAGCTCTCATGCAATTCAGAGAAGGCCAGTCCTCACCCCATATTTCAACACTGACCTTGATGTTGTAATTGAAGTATATTAGAGTGATGTGCCGAGTCCTGTGGCTTGGCCTTCGCCCTCTTCTCCTCTTCATTTCCATCTTGCATCATACACATTGGCAACAGCAATCCACTTGCAGCTCAACACACACACACACACACACACACACACACACACACACACAGAGCTTTCCCACATCTCCATGGCTTTGTTCAGGCTGCTTTCTCCACCCAGAATGGGTTTTCTCTCACGATGCGAGGATTACACTGTGTATTTTATTGCCTGTGCTAATTTCTCGGTTTCAATACATCTTCTCAGTGCCTTCCTGCTGTACAAGTTGGAATGACTTAGAAACACATTGTCTCCCCCTGAGGAGTGTTGACACTCACCTGCTTTAATAACTTGCTTTGTGCTTTGCTAATTTATATGATATCAATATGCTGAGAAATACAGAATATATCATGATATCTTTGCAATAACACATTTTAAGAAGCAATGAGTTCTTTCCTTCCCTCCCTCCTCTCTCTTTCTTTCTTTCTTTCTTTCTTTCTTTCTTTCTTTCTTTCTTTCTTTCTTTCTTTCTTTCTTTCTTTCTTCCTTTCTTTCTTTCTTTCTTTCTTTCTTTCTTTTATTTTCTTTTCTTTCTTTCCTTCTCTCTCTCTCTCCCTCTTTCTTTTTTTTTTTTTTTTACAGCACTACCCATTTGCCCATAATTGCTCCTCTATGCACACGTGCAGGTGACAGGGAGGGTGAACGGAACCCCATACATATATAGATGTGAGTTCCAACACCTCATTTTGTCTCTTAAAGCACTTTATGCTTCTTAAACTATCACCAAACACTTTAGTTTTACACCTAGCTGCACAAGACACAGAACTGTTTGAGGAGAGTTAATTATATCCCTTCAGCACATGTAAATTTTTTGCATAAATGTTTTATTGCTTCTGAGTTTTCATCCTCCTTTGCTTATGTAATACATAATAGATTCCAGAAGAACAGGTGAAGTGTCATCCAAAATGTGGAGACTGTTTCCATTTCGTACATTAGCTTCATTGAGTTATATGAGCTTTACTACAATTAGATAACCTAAAACAATCCATGAAATGCTTGAGAGGATAAATAAAATTTTAAATGTAGAAATAGGATGCTCTGATAATCTTGAGAACAATACCTACCATTTGTTGGGTGGTACTCGTGCTGAGGTCATGTCTGCTGTAGCAAAACAATCCCGCCTGATCTGTGTGGCGAGGGTGGAGGAGGTCTCTCAGCCCAGAGCAGGGAAATCACAGGCCGAAAGTCCCAGGCTGTCACAGTCACAGGCTGCTGCAGACAGAAAGCCACCGCAGACACAATGAGGCTGGAACCCAAGCCTCTTTGTCTCAGAGCCGAAACTCTGAATTCAGAAGCCCTCAGTGTCCACTTGAAGGGAGTTTGCTTAAAATGGGAGGCAAACATTCAAGATAAATGGAATAAACAGTTTGATTGGGGGCCTTATCTTGAAAAACAGAACCAGAAGATATACAAATACATTTATTTTCTCACATATTTAGCAAAATAAAGGTTTTCATGGTAATTCTGACTCGTACTTAGGAGAGACGAGGGAGGAATTGGTTGTTGTGGGAGTTTTCTGGTATCACTTTTCTCAGTATTTTAGGCAGCATGATCTCTCCTTTCACATCTGTAAGCATGCCTGGCAAGAAGGTAATTTTTGCAAATGTGTAGATCAGTTTCCCCAAAGGCCTTTCTCTGATATTCAAACAAGTCTCTTGCGAATTTGTGATTGTGTAATGATCTATATTGCTTTTCTCTTCAACTGACAGCTGACAATTACCATAGTCTAGTGTCTGTGTGAGATCTGAATTGCTCTCTCATATTATTTCCGTGATTTCATTAAACAATGCCTCCAGCAAATTTGGTAATTTTATTTTGTAGCAATTTGCATTGTACTCAAATGTTGGGCATCCAATAGTCAGTGGAAGACTGTTCTGACAGCCCTACTGTGATAATTGCCATATTGTGCAGCCAATGCCCCTCCCTGGTGCAGACATAATGCCCCATCCCTACAGACTTTGAGTTTGGTCATGTGACTTGATTTGGCCAATGCTGTGTGTTTGGCTTGGCTCTTGTCTTCCTGCCACGGATCATGAGACAAACACTGGTCACAGGCAGATGAGAGATGCTTGGAGCAAACCCAAAGCCAAAAGCAGTGTGTACCTATGGCCAGGCGAACCTCGGCTTGGAGCAGAGCCGCCTCACCACACCAGCTTGGATCAGTTGAACCACAGTCAGCCTGCAGACCTGTAAGCAGCAGAGTGATGCTTGCTGTTATAAGCCGCTGAGTTTTGGAGGCATTGTTACACAGCACGTGCAACAGTAGTTTAGTAGTAAACTGACCAACTGAGTGTCTGAGGTGCCATTTCATTAGTGGATAGCTGCATCATATGGTAATTTTTCTTCTCCTTACGACTTCATAATTGTGGGCGCTGGTTTCCCAGGATTTTGCAGAAATGGATCTCACGTAGATGTCTGAGATCAGAACCAGATAGGGCAATGGTTTATCAGAAAATTTGACTTTCAATGGCCTTCGACTCACAGTAAAGACCGAGCTTGCCATTGGGTGCTCACATCTGCATGTGCTTTGGCACATGGCCTGTTTGCAGTACAGCTGGGGGAAGGGAGTGGGAAGACACAGGGCTCGTGAGAATGGCACGTTTGGCTTCTCCGTGGTCCTGAAGAGTTTCTCACAGCACCAGTGTTGCCATCGGCTCTGAGATGCTAGAAGAGCTTTAAAATCCATCTCAGAGTTTCTGAGCTCCTTATCAAAAGAAGTTATTCAAATTTGCTAAAATAGTGAACCCTCCTTTCTTTCTTCTCACCCCTAAGAAAACGCTGGGCTCTCCAATCACTGGGGGAGAAAGATGGAGACTGGGCATGGAAGGGGACTCATGTATAGATGGGAAAATACTCAGAATGCTGAGCTCCAAACAGGAGGCCTAGTGAGCCACATGCCCCGGTAGACAGAGGAGTGGCCATGGCTGAGGTGTCCATGTCCTATAGCTGAAAGACAAGTGACCTTCATAGAGGTGGACAGAGAAGGCCCTGGAGCAGGACTGCAGGAGCCTTCTGGTAGTGGCATTTCTTTCACATGACGTCAGCTGCAAAATGAAAAATAAAATAAAAACTCTGTAAAGCTTCAATAAGACAGTGATTCTGAAGCAAATCGTCTAGGGGGATGTAATCACCACTGGCAATTCCACACCAATCACTAGCCCTGGTTCTCTTACGTCCAAATGAAATCCGTGATTGATCAGCCTGTTCAGTTTTGGCAAAGCCACAGAAGCACTTAATGCTGAATGAATGGATGGAAGGGAGAAGTGTGTGCAAGAAAACACTTAATCAGTGTTGAGTGAATGAATGAAAAACAAGCCAAGGTGGTAGTGGTGATGGTGATGGTGGTGGTGGTGATGGTGATGGTGGTGATGGTGATGATGGTGATGGTGATGGTGGTGGTGGTGATGGTGATGGTGGTGATGGTGATGGTGGTGGTGGTGATGGTGATGGTGGTGGTGGTGGTGGTGATAGTGGTGATAATGATGGTGGTGATGGTGATGGCGGTGCAGTGGTGATGGTGGTGACGATGTTGGCATTGGTGATGGTGGTGTTGTATGTGTATGTGTTCTATGTGTAGGAAGTTGATGGTGGTGGTGGTGATGGTGGTGGTGGTGGTGGTGGTGATAGAGGTGATGGTGATGATGGTGATGGTGATGATGGTGATGGTGACAATGGTGAAGGTGGTGATGATATTGGCATTGGTGATGGTGGTGTATGTGTGTGTGTTCTATGTGTAGGAAGTTGATGGTGGTGGTGGTCATGGCGTAGGTGGTGTACATGTGTGTGTTCTCCACGTAGGGAGGTGATGTGGAGGTGTGATGTGTGTACACACCAGCATGGTCCCCTGGGAGCCATCTTTTGATGGCAGTTGGGTGTGGCTTGTAGCCACACGTGGCATGCCCCACACAGAAAGGGCTAGTTTTAGACTCCCAGGTTCTTGTTCAGCTTTGGGGCCACAGGAAGGGAAGTTTTTAAACTCCATTTCTGATACCATTTGGTCTCACAGGTCAATGAGCCTGTCCTGACTCTGGCTTGCTCAGCTGAACAAACACACCAGTGGTAATGCCATATTGCAAGGACACTGAGAAGAATAACTAATGGAAAATGGTACCTACAATGATATCTCTGAAAGCTCCGGATTATTAGATGTTAGAGGAATAATGGAGAAGCATTGGGATGGCAATTAAACCACACTTCATGCTACCTGAGGAAGGAGCAATTTGATTCTGCACCACTCCCAGTCCACCAGCTCCAGGACCCACTGGAAACTCATCAGGGGATGGCATCTAATGAGCTCTGTGCTGCTCATGTCCAGGGCCAGGTTGGCATCTGGCATCCAAGCTCATGTGGCTGTCACGGCAGTGCCATCAGCCGCTGATTGTTTAAAATGATGAATTG